AATTGTGTATTCTCCGTTATGCGCCAAATGACCTTCCGGACAGTAGCAATGTGTTCCCATAGTCGTTGTAAAGAAAAAGGTGTGCTGGGAGTCAGCGTGTAGTGGTAATTGATGGTATGGTGTCGACAAATCAAGTGCTGTGCAGTATCGCTTCCTTTCAGGTTACCGATGATCTTGTTGACATTGGGTAACGTGAGTTGATCATAGAAGTGAGAGCGTTGATTTGACGTAGATCCAAATACAAACAGACTTTAATATACTCTCAGGACGGTATAAAGGGATGGTGCAGCTAGCAATGGAAAGTTTACAATCGACGCCGAAAACCGACGATTGACCACTATTTCATGTTCCCATTTTCTGAACTTGCAATTGTACTTGTCGGATAAAAAGGTGTGTGGCGGCGTAGCTCAGTAATTCATCTCGAGAGGAATATTACGCGGGCACTCTTATTCACAAATCATCTCAACCATATCGACCTCAGTTCTTGGGTGCTGCAGAGTGACCGCAAAAAGAAATTCACATATGTATACGCGCTGTATTACGTGCTGGCTATCTGAAATTATGTGATGAGCACAATGGTCAAAGTATACTATGCTTTACTAGAGTCTATGGATATCACGATTTCTCAATTCTGCATCATGCAGTGTTTACTTTGGTCTCCGCCATGCCTACAGACAGTTCAAATACATAGTGATGTATGTTCACACGACCGTCGGCAGGATATAGCATACCTTTCACTGCTAATATTCTCGTCACCGCGCTACCAAACACCATGAATACGTTTACGTTAGACGCCCGAGAATCTAATTCCAGCCTGCTCTCTTCTTCCTAGCCTGCTGGTCCTTGCTCGTTTTTCCTTAACCCATTCTCACCCTCCATGTACGATTCGTTGGCACACAGGTCATACATGAATATGCATCACTTTATTCTCGCCCATCTCTACTGATGGTCGATCGATTATCTTAACATCCAACGTAGCTAGAGAAAATCACATGGCGTTGGTGTCGCACTTGTCGAAGTGCCTGTAGTACCTCCACTAGAGTGTGTGTAATGACGATTCTTAGTATGAGCCGGTAGATTCTGATATCTGAATCAGCGGTTTGCATGCCCAGGTCCTGGGGAAAGGTCTTGCGCACATGATCGGCACTGAACACATGATTTGATGCTGGAGGAGCATGTGGGTTAACACGTGTGTTCGCATCGGAACGCAATTATAAACGTGAACGTGAGCTATCCAAAATTTGCAGTTGTCGCGATAGATTTTACTAATAAAGTTCTTCCGCTTACATATCAAGCTCACACGGAATTTCTCACGCATCTTCACGTACGAATAATCTCTCTCCAATGTGGATGCATACGAAGGATATTGTGATAATAGACTACATCTGCAGCTTGGCTTGATGTATAATCATATTGCGAAGCCCTCGGGGCAGTACCACCATAGTGAGACGATAAATTCACCTCAGTAATTACCGAAATTTGCAAAGTTGTAGCCGAATTAGCCAAATGATATCCGTAGTCTCCTGTACATGCGCTCGCATCCCCAAATAGCCATCTCGGTCAGCAATCCAATTAAGATGTTGTTTGACCTTCACTGACGCAGAAATCGAGTGCTGAGCCTCAGAGACCAGTCGGGCCAGCGATACATGAATGTCTGCCTTAACTTCATTATCTGGTGTCGGATCAGTGGTCCTTGCTTTGAGAAAACGGGCATGAGAATTTGGTGCGTAGTTGTCGACACACTAATGTAAGAAGTATAAAAGCCGTTTTGGAAAAGGATTCGTCGAACGATGCTATTTTGCGGCACAGGCCATTTTTTACCGGGAAGTTACAATATATCGGCAAGCGTGTTAGTTTCATACTTGGGTGGAAATGGTGACACCAGGATTAAAATAAAATACTTCACTCAAGTACTCGTTGTAAGTGTAACAGGGAGGCGAGGTAATATCAGCAAGCCAGTCATCGAAGTTAGTGTCTAGTTTATACTAGCCGTCTAAAGCCTAGTTGAATTAGTTAGAATGATAGTAGTAGTGAGCATGTTGCGAGAGTGGAAGATGTTAGTATCCCAGGAAAATAGGCCCATAATCGATTGAGACCTCTCAAAATAACGTTCACAGAGGCTTTTAAACTTAACTTTAAAAAACAGGTCCAGGTAATCTGTATTAAAAATGAAAACATACATTATAAACCTAGAAAGAAAATGTGGGCTAGAGACCCAACGCATGGTCCAGGCAAGAAAATGGGAATGCCAGCTTTTGTTCAAGACTAAAGGTACATTGTGCAGGTATGTAGTATGTCCTTTTTATATTTATTCCTTCTATAGTTCTTGTGATCCTTCTATCTAACAACTATAGTTTTTGTGCTTGACAACTACAGCTTTTGTCGGAAATTGTCGTTAGTGAAATTGGTATTGACTGTCAAGAGTTTTTCGCAAAACAATAATTGATAATCTAGGACATTCAAAACACGAATATGCCTAAAAGCAATGCAATTGAACTCTTAATTGCAATCCAAATATTATAACATATTTGTCAGTATATAGGCTGTAGCTTAAATATAACGTCACCGACTATTTGGAACTATGCTATATACAAAAATAAAAAACATGTATATAGCATCTATTTGAAATGTGAAATACAACGTAACCCTTTTTTCTAAAATGGGACTGTGATATAAACAAATCGAACACAACATGCACCTAGTACATATTCAACATGAGCAATACAGCGTATTCCCTGTATATAAACAGCGAGATAAACATTGAAAACACAATAGAAGTGACCAAGCTGAAGCAGAAAAGATTCTTCTGAAGCAGCAGCGTCTACTGCTAATGCAGAAGTTGACAATGAGAGTGAACTTCCCATTTAGGATCTAGTAGTGAGCCTGATATTATATCGGAACAAACGAGAAGGAACAGAATTGAAAAACGAAAGCTAGCAACGAACAGTAATAAAGAGATCGAAGCCCGAAAAGGAATTCACAGGAAAGGAACGCCGTGCGTGGGCAAAAATGCAAATAAGGTAAAAAGTTTATTATATTGAAAAGAGAAGTGGCTTCAAAGTTAACGAAACTCAGTTGAGGCAGCATAGTGAGCACTAGGTCTACTGATACAATTATATAGATGGTGAATGTAGATCAATGCATTTGAAATAAGTTAGTAGACTATTTGCAAGGCACAGCTGAATAGGCGTCATAGGAGAAGGTATCGAGTTTGTGTTTAACTGATCACTCAAGTGTGCATAGCTGTCAAATTGTTGTATTAACTTTTGATTGTTCGTTCTATGGGTACAAACATATTATACATCACTGGGGATAAATTTGGAGTTCGTACATATGGGTACTACAGAATCAGTACCATCATGTATGACAGTGATCGTCAATTGAAGTCGTTAGTTGCAGTTTACTTTTATAAATATCTACAAACAATCGAATAATTCCTGCCAAAATACGAACGTTTTGTTGGAAGTTTACATATGGGTGATACTCGCCGGGAAGTTAAGCGAAAAGTTATCAAACTCATATATTTGATGTGTGAAATTACTATCTATGCAGACTCGTACCTATCTTTAAGGTATTGTCTGAGCATCAATTATTGCCATTAAATTCTACTACGCTTCTACTATACGTATCACTTTAGCACTTAGAGATAATTTTAGGTCGAATTCAGGATTGGGGCTGTTACAAACATAATACATATAGTCAGATATTAAATAGCATGCTAGTGTCCTACACTAAATTTGGCTCTAGATTAGAATAGTCTACTAAAAGATTGCGGAAGGTCCGAGAACGACAACGTATTTCAATAAAGTTCAGTCGGTTTCAGAAAGTTATCAACTAAAGAAAGCATCAACAGGAAAATATTCAACATATGAGATGAGGGAGAAGGCCACCGAGTACAAAAGGAAAGGCGTAAAGGAACACAGAAAGCATTTCGCAATAAATGCACTGAAATAGGTCATCCAAAACTGATGAACATGGACCGATACAATGCATGATTTAATGAGGAGAATGGCAAGTAGAGCCAGAGACTGTCGAAAACTCACAAAATACCAAAATCCTCTGAGGGACACGAGATCAATAAAATAGAATGTATTCGACCAAAGACGATTAAAGTGATCTTACTGTCCTGAAGCTGTCTTTCAAGAGCAAGTTGTTCTGATGTAACCGGTACGAGAGTAGGTAGGTAGATGATAGTCCAACCATAGAATCATCGAAGTAAAGTAAAATAGAAATCGTCGAATTAAGTTAGCCTTTATACTTTAAGCTATAAATTGATACATACAGACTTTAGCTGGGGGGCGAATCGACCGTCGTCGGCTTCGTAGATTTACTTTTAAACACACCAACTCTTAGTCAAGGTGGAAAGTTGGCACTTTCGCCAATCAAGTCTCTCAAAATGGACGAACACTTTCCTATTTTAGAAAGTCCACATTGAACTCAAGTTGAGATTCTACATATTTACTGGCTACTTCTACTACGAATATAAGTATTATGGAAATGATTGTTTGTCCCGGATATTTATTATTCAGAGCGGTTATGATAGTTCAGAGTATACGTTGAACGTAACACTATAAAGTATTAAAATTCAAACGTTATAACGTATTTATGAATGGGGTAGAAAGGGTCCGACCTACTACGGTAAAGAATCGGACTACCTAAAAATAGCTCCTACACCTTTGCGTTTTGCACTTCATCACCCAAAAATTGAACACATTAACACAGGACCACACCAAAGCAAACGTTGAACGTAGACAAAATAAAGGTACTTATACGCCACAACGTAAAACCTATTGACATTTGGAACGCATCGTAGCTCTTTTTTTTAAAAAAGAAAAAGAAAAAGTGCATATAAAATACTTTCACAGTATATTTGGTTTGCCTATAGATTATTTATTAAACCTTAAATATTTAAACGTTGAACGTAAACATAAAACCTATATTTTTAAGATATCTATCATTCAGTATTTGCTATTAGGTAAGCAAGAACACCTTATACTTTTCGACCGTATAGTTTCAATTATAGGGTTTTATAAACACTGTCTCATTCTTTGCACAGACCCATCAAAATACAAATCTCTTATCTATCACTCTTAATACAGTAAAGACTATCAATAAAGATCTCAAAGGTTCATCTTCAGCTGCTTGGCAGGCGCATCAATACCCACTTCTCCTTCAACCTTCCCTAGTTTCTCACCCACAGACTCATTCTCCACCTTTTTGGCCTTTTTGTTAGCTTCAGATTCTACAATTTTTGCCTTAGACTTGTCCTCAGTGGCCTCCCATACACCGTGCACTCGGCTCTCACCAACAGGACAGTGGTTGTTGTACCAAGTCTTGGCGTCGCTTTGGTCACTGACTTCTGTGGGTTTCTCTTCATGCTCTCTGTGTGTATTATGAATGGGATAAATTAGCTGAGTTTATCAACATATGTATCTATATACTGGGACTGCAAAAGACTGGTGGTCGTTAATTATAACCCGTTCACACACTAGCTTAGAATTAAACTCAACAGCTCTGTGCGTATTATTTGATATGCATGAAGGGCCCCTTTCGCCAAGAAAAAATGTTCGAGTTCTTGGCCTTTTTAACATTCATAAATGATCTAACCGTTACACCAAAGCTATAAACAGATGACTGCTGGTTGTACCAACGACATTTAAGATTGAGACATACTTGGCATTGGATTTCCATTCCTCGAATCGTTTGCCATGCTTTGAGCAGGACTCCATCATTTCCAGTAGCATCTCCAGGCGGTAGTTAAGACCAGTCACGTAGCACTCACTGGGTAGATACTGTTATGACCGCACATTGGAGTGTGAAACGTTTTGGATGTTAGAACATGTAGGAAAACGTATTGCGTAATTTTAGTGAGCTTTAACTTTGAAGACTATTCACCATACCCATGCAACAACGGAATTGGTGGGTGTTTAGCTGTGAAGGTTATATATTTATCCTCTACCTAGCCCCTAGAGACTACATAAATAAATACATCGAGGTAAAAACCCTAGTCATGCCTATGCAATGACGAAAAAGTACAGTAACACTCTCCAAGGCACCGATAACACCATAGGTCAAACACAACACGACTTACAAACATACTGTCCCAATCATATAGGTGTATACGTGTGAGTGTGTTCGTATAAGCTTATGGTACATCAACAACACGGCGTAGAAACATACTGTCCCAATCGTATATGTGTATAAGTGTGATGTAACCTGATAAGTGTATTGGTATAAGCACAAGTGTACTGTGCACAAGCGTGGTCGTACCAGTATAAGGGTGCAAGACACCCTAGCAATCACACATAGTACCGTTAGGAAGACAACCAATCGTATATGCTAAAACAAACACCCACAAGGTATTCCCGTGTGACTTGGGAGATGACATTATAGAGAAGTGGCCAGAGAATGGGCCACACATGAAACCACTTTAGTTCCTAGACACACAACGATTACTCACTACATCCACACTCCTTGACAACTACATAGTTAAACAACATACACCTGTAGGATGTCTGTAGGAAAATAAACCCTAACACCCAACAACTAGGTAGCACACACCTGTAGGATGTCTCCGTAGTCACTCAGAGGGTCGCATTGCAGCGCATTGACCAGATCCTCTCCCAGACGGTGGCGGTGTTGGTCCATGTTGATGCGAGTGGACGGATCAAACATACAGTAGCGTAGTACATCACCTTCGAGGTTCTTGTTCAGGAATGAACCCATGTCCCCTACCTACATGACATGGGTAAAACCGAATGAGTGTCAATGGAATACACTATGAGAGCCATCTATATATATATATATTCACAGATAAACACAAAGTGTAAATATTGGTTGAATTTGAAATGTGCACGCATGTTCACGATGCTTGTACAGGAATGACGACAACACACACACACAAACCACAGCTCTACACACACAGTAGAGTACGGTTAGTACATACCACGCTATCCTCGGTATGAGTGTACAGCTTCTTATACGCGTCGTAGTCGAGTTTTAAGCCAGAGTATTGAAGGTAACCAGACTTGTCCTCCAGACACTGTGGTTCATAGAGACCACGTCCGTTGCTCTTGAGACTATAGAAGCATGGCATACCGTACACACTCGAGGCCTACGGTACAGAGGGTAAGTATATGAGTTATGAAGAGTAGGGACAGGGAAACATTTAGTGGACTTAGATATTAACATTCAGTTAGTACGAGTTGTTGACATATAGTTGGACTTAACCAATAACATATTGTGATGAAATAGGTGATAACATGCATATTTTTAGCATGCAGTGGACTTAATAACATATAGCTAGTACAGGTTACAAACATATAGTTTATAAATATTTATGTATTCAATGGCTATGGCTATGGACATATATATATATATAAATAAATATACCCAATGGTTATGATATTCCCGTTATATACATTTACACCTGGGTTTGGATCCAAACACTTAGGTGCGACTCTATAAGACAAGTAATGACTACGTCACGCGTGTTCTCTACACTCACACCTGAGGTAAAACCCTAAAACCCTACATGTGTACAATTGCACTCCACACTCATGTTATAAACCTCTACTACTTATTCTACCACCTATTAGCACCCCCACTACTTACACTCTCAAAGGTGTGTTCTATGCCATTGCGTGTTGCCAGTCGGTCCGTGTTGCAGTTGATACCAATGTTGGAGTACTGGAAGTTCTCGGCTCCATTGGACTGTGGAGAGGATGCAGTTGAATGGGGTTGGTGCGAATAGTTTGGCTTAAAATCCTTTTTGTTTGGGGTGTGGGTGCGGGGTCAATGGGTATTCATATCAAATGTAAGTGTGTCACTAATTATATATATATATATATATACATACATACATTTCAGAGATCGTTATGTCTATATATCTAAGTCCATCTAACTATGCATATGCGTGTTTCGAGCTTGGCGGTGTCATAGCTGGAGTGCACGATGGCAACACCACATAGTGTAGTGTGTCGATTAAGGGGTAGTGATTTGTTTACTGTAGTAGTGTGCTGCTTCCTGATAGGACTCGTCATACTTCAAACTCACGACCTTTCCGGGTGTGTAGGACAGTACATAAGGTGAACAACTACACCAACCACTTTAGTGCTAGACTTGGTTGGTTGTATCGGTCATCCGCCTAATTTACTACATGTGTAACAGGGGCAATTCAGACCTTCCATCGTACTTCAACAATGTTGTAGATGCATGTCTGGATTTACAACCGACTTGATGTCGTTTATATAGTACGTGAGTGGCCGCTTATACAGGCGTTGGTGCGTAATGGTATACATTAGAGGAGTTACAGGACTCAACCGGAATGTACTCAGAATGACATAGAGTTTAAGGATATGTGAGCGAACACATAAACTATCGGTAGAATGTACACTCAAATACAGCCAGAGGTATTGTCTTCTAGATATGTATAGGGATACATATTTTGATACCATATATGTATCTAATATAAAGGGTATTTTTAACCAAATGCAACTACATGTCACAACACAAAATGTACCTACCAAGGTAGGAGTACTCTTGCTGCGAACCTTCTCCATACGGCTTGGGTTGAGCATGAGGAAGTCAAACATCAGAATGTTTTGCACCTGCACGTGTAATAAAAGTATACGCTTATTATTTGCGTTATATACATTGTTGTATTATAATGCTACAGTTTCATATACTATTATATATAATATGTTATGTTAGTATTGCATTAGATGCACAAGTTAGTCTCCAAGGAGTGAGGCAACTCACTTTCATTATATACTGCGGCGTGAAGCCTCGACTATTTAAACAGTAATACTAAGTATGAATCGGGCGAGTGAATAGCAAACACATCCGATGTTACCAACATACATACATAATATATATATGACATAGTAATATATTACATATTACATTATGCAACTTATATAATACATACCAACATATGCATAGTCGCCTGATAATCACAACATATATACATACACACACACACATGTATATATATATATATATGTATTCTGTATAGATGCGAGGTATAACTTATTCGTGTCCTGTACATGTAGTATACCTGCTGCATGGCTCGAGCCACCTCTCCGTCCCGTTGACCCATATGCGGCTGAGAGTACCCGTCCGCATGCACTTCATATGTGAACTCGTAGTCACCATAATCATTCAGGAATCTGTGGATCAGTGGTTGTGTGTAGGATATGTTAGTTATGACAAGTATATTTATATATACATACATATATACATGCCTAGATGCAATGTAGGATTATTGAACAAGGGATGTGCACGGGTCTTAGTGCGATGGGTAAGCTATAGTCCTCATACTCGTTCAGGCAATAGTGATCAGGGCTGTGAGTGAGTCGGTTATGCATGCTTATCATGCACAAACCCTAAAACAACCTTATTTATAGATGTACAATATATATATATATATATATATCGTTAAATGACAGCATGTTCATAACACCCCAGCACTTTTAATACCACCGCACGTGTTTACATATACCCCTGTTGCTTACCTGAGCTTGTCACTGACCAGCTTTGACCCACGCATGAAGGCAGTCAACTCCAAAGCCTGCAGTGACTGTAGAGTAGGTACCGTCACATCGTCACCCACCATACGCGATGCAGAAACGGCGCCTTTCACTGCAGCAGCCCCTGCGATAGGGTGTAGTATGTCAAATAGGGTGAGTGGGGATTGTATCGGGTTGCTATGGCAACGCCTGTAGTGTAGTGTAGGATAGACGGAATATACTTGTACTTATATATAATATAATAATATATATATATATGGATTTTATCCAACCGCTTCTCTTGGACTCCAACAAGCACACCAATGTAATCCCACTGACACTCAGTACCAGATATTTGATATCTAGTTATACAGAGAGACCAGGTTAAAGCCCGAGCTCTACTCACCCTAGGTAGTAGTAGTAATTAGTAAAGGCCTATTTAATATACCTGCAGTTCACACATACCTGTATTCTTATCCGTGACGGCTATTCTCTCGAGGTAGTGATGATATTTCTCCGGTGTATGCTCCTTCAGTGTCTTCAAGGTCAGTGTGCGGCCAATTGCAATGTCTGCCTGTCCAAGGCCAAGCGCACCATCCAGGTGAAAGGCTACAATCTCAGCCCAACCATCATCAGGAAGTGACTCGAACTCACAAGGGTTGTCTGTATTAATATAGATATATGTGCATATACATTACATATTTCAGGAAGGTTGTTTGTATTGATATATATACATACATATACGCGTGTGCTATTAAGTACTTATGCACGGTGTGGCTACAAGCTACATATACACATAATATTTTTAAACATATTCTGCATAAATATATATACATATATGTTCTCACCTGGTCGGATACCCTTCATGTGATCCATCACTGTGCCACCGAAGGGTCTGAAGGTGGCCTTTAAAACGGTCTCCTTCTCATCGTTGCTGATCTGCGTACGAGTAATGTACACGAAAAGAATTCAGCTTCAATCCTCTATATCATAACGTATGAGAATCGTGATCATCTGTGTATTGAATGTTATATATTTATCATGTTAAATGGCATGTATTTAACATGTGAAATGGTATGTTATAATATGTGAAATGGTATGTTATAATATGTGAAATGGTATGTATATAACATGTGAAATGGCACGAATTTAAAATGTGAAATGGTATGTTATAATATGTGAAATGGTATGTATATAACATGTGAAATGGCATGAATTTAAAATGTGATATGGTATGTAAATAACATGTTAAATGGTATGTGTATAACATGTGAAATAGTATATATATATAAATGTCATGATAAATGATATGCGTTTAACATACTTAACATGTTAAATGATATGTATGCAACATATTAAATTTTATATATTAATAAACATATTGAATGTTTTGTAAAGAACAGTCGGGATGTTTACACCATCGTAATCATTGTGTGGGTGCACTGAACTGTGCCGTTGTCATTAGTATGCCATACGAGGTTGTTCCTGAGACATGAGTATAACTTCTAGTATACACAAATACGATCCTCTTAAAGAGTCTTTAATCTTTCGCTCATCCACATGTTGAGTAGTATACGTACATGCTATTCACGGTTAAAACCTTCTATCGCATACTCTTTCACATATACCACCACATAACTCAGATACACCTCCACATATAACATACATGTACTGAGTAGGCTTGGGGTTTCTCATTAACACATATAACATACATGTACTGAGTAGGCTTGGTGTCTCTCATTGAACTCGATGTGTGTGATATGCCCATGCTGAATGTTCTTAATTAACTCACATACACCTCCACATATAACATACATGTACTGAGTAGGCTTGGCGTCTCTCATTGAACTCGATGTGTGTGATATGCCCATGCTGAATGTTCTTGAGGTGTTGGTCCTCTAATTTTGCCGCTGGGGCGACCCTTTTCAGTTCAGAGGTGGCGCGGAAGTCATGTTGCTTCTTAATGCATTTCTGTAGTACAATACAATACAATGCAAAACGAATAGGAAAAAGTGAGGGAGAACGAGAGCGTGAGAAACAACAAAGAATATGGCGGGCGGGTATAGGAATATACACTTAAGTGTACATACATACATACGTATTGGTAAAACACCTTGAAGTCTTTGTTATCCTCACAGGTCTCAGACAATCATAAGGAGGTGTAACCAGGACCAAACACATTATATATACATACATATGTAATGGTAACACACCTTGAAGTCTTTCTTATCCTCACTGGTCTTAAACCAGTCCCTTAGTTCATCCACACTCTCTGGCGGATACACTGAGTCGACTGCTGTGTCAATACCATTCGTCTGTTGCAACAGAACCTGCAGTACACACACACATTATAAGTACAATATATAAGTCAATCCTAATGTAAGTACGTCATATACAATATAAGTATATATATATATATATAAATAAATCAATATATGTCGGCTTTACATAATACAAGTACGATATATATAATATAAGTACGTTCTATATAATATAAGTCGGTTCTACATAATACAAGTACGATATATAATATAAGTACGTTATATATAATATACGTCGGTTTCACATTTTATAAGCACGATATATATAATATAAGTCGGTTTTACATAATACAAGTACGATATATAATATAAGTACGTTATATATAATATACGTCGGTTTCACATAATACAAGTACGATATATAATATAAGTACGTTATATATAATATACGTCGGTTTCACATTTTATAAGCACGATATATATAATATAGGTACGTTAAAACTATTGAACGTACGGTATACAGGGTATAGGTACGTTGAACATAACATCTAATACTATTCACTTCACATACAGAATATAAGTACTGTCTCATACTATTTACTACACATACAGAATACAAGTACTGTCTCATACTATGTGCTATTCTGTATGTGTACTCCACTGCCTGATCCTATATAGGGCGTCGTAGCTCACTCACTGCACCTTACTGAAAGCAATGACTGTCATACCCAAACGATACCCAACACTTGTTCTGCACCACAAGCAATAGGGCCATGGGCTGCCACACTCGGACGTACCGACTATATATTTATGTATATATGTTTACGTACACACACACACACATATATATATATATAGTATTTTCGGGCTATATTGTGCTGTGTGTGTGAAGTTCTATGCTGACATACGATAAGATAGCACACAGTCGTATTCTATCAATAGCACAGCGTGTTCTATTAATAGCACAGTCGTATTCTATTAATAGCACACGGTCACAAACACGCACCGTCGATGTGGCGACAACCGGTCCATGGTCCACGGCTTCCACAGGATTGTTATTCGCTCTGTGGGTTTAGGGTTTTAGGGTTGAATGGTGGAGTTGGGTTGTGTGCCCAACGCGACCAATATAATAGCTACACTACTAAGTGTGTACTACATTACATAGTAGAATAGTAAAAAACCTGAAAGGGTCGCTCTGTCAGGGGTTTAGACCAATTGGTTTAGGGTTTATGAAACCGATGGTAGCGAATAAGCTTTCCATATGGCAGGTGGATCACAAACATATATCGGGTGAGTGTTGATACTATTCCGCACTCCACGTATGTTGCTAAGGTTAGACTCAGTTGAAATATATATATATATATACATACATATACATACACCCCATAGCCACTCTTTCGCGTGTCTGTTATATTGTTATGTATGCATGCCTGGACGTATGACAGATGGCGCACCCATCATCCTGCACGTGTAAAAAATTGGATCCATGTTGCTATATATATATATACATCTATATGTACGTGCACACTCTGACTATGTATCTACATGTACCGTCATACCCGACCTCGCATATACAAGTGAGTGCACGTTCACGTATATAAAAACGTTTTTCATGTGTCTCCGATGACTATATAAACATGGCGACGTTCGCATATAAATAAGTAAATGTAACAAAACGCTGTTAGAACACCATTGTGTACAAGTACTATACAATGACGTATATATATATAAATATAAATATAAAAGCTGTAGGGATACTACTGTGTACAAATAAATATAAATATAAATATAAATATAAACGCTGTAGGGATACTGTGTACAAATATAAATAAATATAAACGCTGTTGGGATACTACGGTGTACAATTGCTATACATTTGTCTTATGTATATATATAAATAAATAAATATAAAAGCTGTAGGGATAATACTGTGTACAATTAGGGTTTAGGGTTTACAATTACCATACAATTGACTTGTACTTACTTCGCTCGCCACGCCTTAGCCGCCTCTGATTTGGGACCATCGCCATGTGACTCTTCCGACAACTTCTGCAAACGGTACGAATAAATGCACACACAAACACTCAGTATTCAACAATAACATATAACCTTTTAAAATAGACACATGTATGCACACACAAACACTCAGTATTCAACAATAACATATTACCTTTCCAAATAGACACATGTATGCATACACAAAATACTCAGTATCCAACTATAACGGATAACAGTATTCAACAACGTACAATCGTTTCAAATAGACACATGGCAGGTTACATCAAACCATAGCCTTCTCAAATAGACCATCCAGTAACAACACACAGCTGTCTTAAATAGACACATGACAGGATACGTGACACCATTGGGTTTAGGGTTCTGCTTAGATGGTAGGATGTCATAGAGAGGAATAGTATTGCAGATGTGTGATGTTTTATAAAGGGGAAGGGTTTAGGGTTCTGGGGATAGTGTGCTGTCGCTACACTAGACATAGAGCTATAGTATAACGACGGAGCGATGTTGAGAAAGATAATGCGATTATTTAATTGCGATAACACGTATACCAACACAGCTCCAGGTTTACAGGATAAGTCCAAACTTTCTTCACTTTAACATACATACACGCGTACCAACTCAACCCAGTTAACGTTATAGGTCTTAAACAGGACAAGTGCGTACCTTCTTGGCCTTAAACTCCTCCAGAGTCATGTGGCCCTTTTCGTCCGACTTTTGGGCTTCAAAATGTCCCGAGTTCTCCTTTGCCTCCTGAATAACGGGCTCGTGCAGTTTCTGAGACCCGGAAATACGTTCACAAAACGTTAGTCACAACACGCGATGGTTTTACAGTTCGATGTCCTATATCGGGTTCTCCAGTGCGGGTGCGTAGGGTTCTAAGGATTTAGGGTTCTAGGGTTTAAGTACTGAGAGCATACGGCCGACTCCTTCGCACTATAAGCATATTGGACTAGTTTTATGAAAGACAGCACTAGTTCGGAGTGACGACAAAAAAGTACACTCTGCCAACCAGACAAACAAATGTACAATACAACACGTCTAGAAGACGACCGTTATATACAAGCACGATCCGATATTGTATTCGTATGTGTAACAAATCCATATTCAATTCATTAATGTAAAAAAGTTGTATACTGGGACATCACAATCTATATACATATACATGCATACATACATACATATTTGGATGTGCATGGCCTCACAATATTCAATATACACATACATATCTTGCTTGGTTAGTTGTCTTACATGCATACCTTTGCCTGGTTGGTATTCGCAAACATCATTCTGCCCAGTCCAGGTTGCTTCTTTAGTCCAAGACCACCTTTTCCGTTTCCTTTCTGCGCGCACGAAGAGTACAAGAATAAACTTAAGCATCTGGGGTTTAGGGTTCTCAGGTTTGTACCAATCACGCGGATCTGTTGGTTAGTCGTCCCTATTTTCTTGCATACCCTTTTCCCCCGCAGTATTGACAACTGACATAGTGGAAAGTGAACGGGATATCAAGCACATTTGTGCGTACATATATTCATTTCACATACACTCACAATACCCTTAAATCCCCCCCACTTACTCAGTACACCCCCCCACACATCCCTCGAATTAAACCCACCTCGCTTATCCCCTCCCCCTCAAAACCCACCTACCTTCATACCACCGCCGGGATACTGCGCCCTTGGGGCCCCCCCCTGGTTCTGCTGTTGTTGCATCATCCGTTCTCGGTTAGCCTGCATCTCTCTCTTCTCCTCTTCCGCTTCTTGCGCCATACGCCTCGCTGAGCGTGGAATACGCGCACTAGCCCTGTCGTCTACGCCAGTGAACGCCTTGACTATGTGTAAGCCTTGCTCCATGCCGTGTTCCATGATGGCGATACCCGCGGGGGGGACCTATACAATAGATAAGCCCGAAAGTTAGTGATAAATATATATATAAAGATAAATATTTATTTATTTGAATAAATATAAATATAAATATATATATGAATGCATGGGATTCCACTATCGGTCAAGAGATGAAGGGTTCTTCGCAGTTCTGTAGAACAACGTTTATTACGACTTAAAGTCATCTAAACCGGTGAACTATGTCATCAACGTACATATGACCCTATATACGGTTATACCTTTTTGGCCCGTCCATCTGATATAAACATGTCATAGTGCACTAGGCCAGAGAAAGTGGCAAACTACGTATTCAACGGGCGTATGATCTTATGTACGCTTATACGTTTTGGGCCCGTCCATCTGATACAAACATGTCATAGTGCACTAGGCCAGAGAAAGCGGTGGAGACACCACAGGGCACAGACAATATAACAATTGGGGATGAGGACATTAATATATGTAATATCGATCAAGTGCTTGCTTAGAGATAATACATAGCAATTAGGAAATATATAGTTTCAATTGAGAAGGTTTAAACTTCAAACCTTCATAGGGCATATAAGATACATGTATGCATAAACGGGACATACATACATACATACAGTCTGAGAGCTCTGACTATGGTGATAGCAAAGAAAGAAAACACACAACAATTGGTGCTACAAAATGAGATAGTGCTTGTTTTCTGAATTGCATGGTACATTGCCAGGGTTGTCGGATTGGGTGGATACAACTTTATGTCTGGAAAAATTTATAAGCATAACGAGTGAATCGAAGTCAACACACGATGTTGATGGTGATTATCTGCTTTCACATGTTTGATCAGATTTTCGCAAAACATAGGTAACGTACTCTTGACAAAATAGATGTATACAGAACACACACACACATATATATATAAAGAATATATATACACAAATACACAAATACACACACACACACACATATATATATATATATATGTGTGTTCACCTCGGTATAGCAAGTAAGAAATAAGTCTATATCCTTCAGTTCGATACTTATTCATAAGCAATAAGAAACAAAGAGTATAACTCAAACAACGTATAGCTCTAAAAGATCATATACATTTCAAGCTCCGTTCTCACTCATGCACGTCATACTCAATGATCTAGTACAAATTTCTATTCAATTAAAATCACTTGATCCCCCTGAATATCAGCCTGAGCTGAACCAAGTATAGGAATTTAGAGCTACCTACAGAGCAGGTACAGTTAAATACATTATTCTAATTGATTTGAAGGATCCATTTTGGTTACACACACACACACACACACACAGCAATTATGGTTCGCACACAGAATATTTAAATTGTACACACCATTGTCATAGACCCAGTAGTCACTGTACTACAATACATGTTCCTAGATATTGGTACATACATCCCGTTCTCACTAACCAATCAATCACCTCAATCCAATACACATCGTTTCATGTTCACGAATACCTACCTGGAGTGTGCCAGAGTATAAGGCAACACACACAGCTAGCGGCAGCAGCCACAGTGAGCGTCTGACTGTAGACGGTGTGTGTAACTCATGGCTCACTTTCTCAGCTGAGCCTTCAGATTTCGTTTCCTTCTTCTGTACATCGCCTGTCGCCTTGGCTGTGCTGGCTGGTTGGTTGGACTTGTCCACTCCCATCTTGGTACTAGTCAGTAAGCTTGAGACTAAACTATGTGTACTTGTTACTTGTAAGTACGATTGGGACTCAGCTATGGGCAGAGCTGTTTGTAAGTATACGTTTTGAGTATGTGGTCTAGTGCCTTGACGAGTGGTGTCTTTATTACAGAGTGAATATGTTTCCCATCAATCGCAGTAAGCTAATTTGTTGAAAAAAGGAAAGGAAATAAAAAGTTCGTAGGCGTTTCCTTGGTAACAGTAACAATTCTCACTTAATTTTTTTTGCCTTTTGGAGTAATCGGGGACTCGGGGTATCCACTCTCCAGACCTCAGAGTGCCAGTGAATGATAACCTCAAACTGTTTCCCATTAGAACATTTATAAATCGAGTAAATATACGTTTACGTTCAACTTTTATTCAATGTACGGTCCTATGTATACTCTTAGGTGCACTTTTACGGTCTAAAAATTCAAGTATATACCCTTTTCAATATACAAACCAGTCCTAAAAAGAACATAGGTAGGCCCTTCTGATCACATCATAATAACCGTTATAACGTTTAAAAGTTGAATAAATATGCGTTGACGTTCTGCTCCTATTCCGTATGTACCCCATAACATTGTGAGTTTTACTCCCCACCCCCCCAGTGGCAGTGCCAGTGACACTGACTCGGTAGTCGATGGCTCGGTGCTCCCCAAACAGGTAGTGGGCTGTTTTACTGTAAAAAAACCCCCTAAGTTTAAACAGGCAAGCAAGGGTCACGGCCTGCCCACAATCTCAATATAAATATTTTTTTAATACGTTAAAAAAATGTATTTAAATATCAACATTAAACATAATTGTTTTTTAAAAACACATATATAAATATTACATAAACATGAATAAAATGAAGTCCTTCCGAACTCGGAAGTCCGCCGTCCGCGGTCCGGGTTTCATTTTTCTTCTTCTTCAAAAATTATCTCTAAATACATTTGTACGAGGCGTGGAGGCCGGGGCAAAAACATGTTTTCGACATGGGCAGTTGAAACACTCTTGAAAGTTGAAACATTGTATTGATTTCAAGCCCTCTATTAAGTTGTTCGCCCACGAAGTACAGATAGGTAATACCTTGCAGCCACAAATGCTGTAATGTTTGTTCAGTGTATTTCCATTAGACCTACGTAACAACCAAACCCTCGAACAACGTAGAACAAGTGCGTAGACATATACATATACATATACACTTCACCACCACCATCACTATGGCTTGGAGCGTGGAGCACCTCACTAATTTAGAGGTCTTGTATTTCTTGGTGGTTTATTTTCTGATATTTCTCTCAGTTGCACTGGCGGTAGTGGGAGTACTCGCTTTGGTGCTGTATCCCTTTGTCAAAGTGTTTCTCCGATGGTATGTGTGTCCTCT